ATCTGATTGTGCCGGTCAGCTGGTTAGGGCCATTTCTGGCTTGTCAGAGAAACATTTCTTTTCCTTGTCATAACTCACAGGTGCTACTGCTGAGCAAATGGAAACATCACTGCCAGAAGTATTCGAAAAGAACAAAAAATTGATTCGGACAATCTGTGTGCTCTTGCCATTGACAGAGATACAACTGTGACTAGGGGTATGACTAGGGTCATAGCAAGGTTAAAAGAAAAGCACCCAGGAATTCTCTCTTGTCATCAGCTTTTCAAACTAACTGTTCTTGGTTGCTACAGGCAATATATAAATCTGCATCAAATACCAAGGGACACTTAGTAGTATTTACAAGTTGCCCTTAGAATTTTCCCAAGAGGTGGCTACTTTTACAAAGGAAGACCACTTAAAATGTGAGGTTCAGGTGTTTAGCACTCTTATTACATATGAGGAGTTCTTGATAGCATGGAGTTATAAGCCTATTCACAATCAACAATTGTGTAAGTTGTGTGTGAAACTGAGTCTAAATACTCCTCCCAAGGCAACTGGTTTAGGCCAGATTTTGAATCTATAACATTTAGAAAGAAGTAATTTACTCTTAGAAAAAAATTACTATTATGCAACAAAGACTGTCTAGGCTCTTAAAAGACTGCAACCAAATATGTGGAAAATTATTTAAATAAAGAAATATGTAGTACAAAAATGAGAGTTGCTGAATGCATTGCATATTGGTCCATCCTGTGACAGAATGTTAAGTAATAAGCAGATAAATTAAAACATCTGTTAAGATATATAACAGATTCAAAGTAACATCATTGCATATGTAATTCAAACACCAATACTGCTCAAGAATACCTTAATCAAATAATTTTCTTTCATAAGAGAAGGTAGAATTATCTTATACATTTTCATTAAACAGGACCTCTCATGCACAAAGGTTAAAGATTTCATACTTTCATTCAGACTTATTTACCAACATTTAGTCATAAACTCAGCTGTGAGGACACACAAGAACTAGGATAATATCTTTGAAGAGCTAAATGTATTTACTTTTATTGGTCGATGAAAAAATAGTTTTGGAATAGGATCCTAGGGGGGAAATGAAATAATTGCTAAAGAGATAAGTCTACATGTATTTAGAAATATTTTGTTTTAACAGCTGAGAAATTTTTAGAACCTGCCAATGGTTTTAATTCTCTATCATATAGTCTTTGGCAAGATAGACTATGGGGGGAAAATATAAATATATTTGGTTTGTGACAAATAAAACCAAGACATTAAAAAAAGAAAAATTAACCAATGACAATATGCCAGGCATTAATGCAAACAGGTCACAAACAGTAAGTTCAAGGACCTGTAACTTAACAAGCAATGCTATGCATGTTCTTGAATGCAGATTTTGAATAGACCAGATTTCTTTTCGTGTTTTCACATTTATAGTACACAATTCCGTGTGCAGTTTTAGAGGTTCACTGTGAGTCCTCTAAAGGTTTCTTTATCATTTAATATTATAAATAATTATGCTCCTAGGCGGCAGTTCAAAGCTCAGTACAGCACTCCCTACAACACCACAGGCAGGTCAGGTGACCTTTCTCCAATTCTCTTCTCTCCGGTGCTGAGGACAGACAAAGTGATATGTCTGTCATACGCCATTACCATTAGAACAGAATCTTGTTCTTTTATTACAACTGAACTCCGCCAGATTTCTCAGCAGGAATGCTAAGTGAAATCAATGTCTTGGATTTCCAGGCTGAGCTTGGAGGTCACAGTCACTCTATCATTTCTCAGCATTACCCTTTCTCTCTCGCGCACACACTCCCCAAGCCTCCAACTGGCACACAGCAGATTGAAAACAGCATGCATCAGAGGACTCATGCTGCACAATTTTACAGTCTTTTGGAGCCCCCCCTCCTTTGGATTCCCCCCTTCCATTTTTTTGCAAATTGCAAATAAGTTTTGTTTGTGTCCTTTTCTAGAGTTCTGAGTCAAAGGCAGCAACACACCCAGGAAGAAGGGCAAGCAATAAAACTCAGAGAACATGGTTGAATTTTGACAGCCGTCAATAAGATCACTGCCCTTACACCATCACCTGGATTTCATTGTTCCAAACTGCAAATGCACTTTTCACTGGAACCATTAATTTGGTTTATGCCAGGAAGGTATGTAGATAACACAAAGTCCTTTAATAAAATAATTCTATTTTATAGTAAGATAGACAAGAAAATTGGCCTATAAAACACACAGAAAATACCCTCAAGACACTAATAATTGATTGTTTAAAAACATAAATATGATAATAAATGACACCTATTATACGTGAATAAAATAGCTTTGTGAAGTCAAAATGTTTATTATGCAATGTATAAATGTCTACAAGAAAGTAAATTCATGTATTGTAATGGGTCCTATTTATTTACTGTTTGTTGTATTTTTTGGCCATGTTCTTCATTAAAATGACAATGGTGATATTTATTAGTGTGGCTATTTTTAACTCACCACATTTAACTGCTGTGGTAAAACATAAGCACATTTAAGCAATCTTTTCTGACAGTAAGAGTGGTTATAGACAGTATGCTGGAAGACACTGAGCAAAGAAAGGACATATTTTTATTAAATTGTTGTTGCTTAAAAAAAGGCACTTTATTCTTGGTTAAACCTTTGTGTATTTTATAATAATAACAGATGGAAAGAAATACAACACCCACTGTTTTCTTAAACTTTATATGATAGAAAATTCATAAAGGCTAATTTTCAAAAAGTAACTGAATTCAAAGATGAACTGTTAAATATATTTTTAAATTATATAAAATCATGACTACTTTTTCACTAGTATTAAACAAACAGAAGTATACAAAACCATAGGATGTGGTTAATTCTGACATTACTGAAATAACTAGTCTTTTTGCATGAAGACTGTAAAGGTCTATGAGTATATAGAACCATATAGGTCATAACACAGTTTCCTAATCTTAGCAAAGCAAACCTTCAGTCACTTAAGCATTTGCCATGGTTACCTAAGAAAGAATTGTAGCAGTTGCTCAATAAACATTTGAATGGATGAATGAATGAATGAATGAATGGATGGATGGACAAATGAATAGATGCATTAATGGATGAGGCTGACTAACATCAAAAGTTTCATGATTATTTGTATAAGCATTTGGTAAGATGATCTCAGTAATAAAAAGTTATTTTAGGGGTAAGAAAAAAGTCTATATTAGTTACTTAAAAGTGAACTGTATACCCTAAAATCATAAAATGAAATGTCCAGATGTAAAGCATCGTTATGAAACATGATGTAAAATCACATCAATAAATTGAGAGAAAAAACAGAGAATTTTAACTCACAGAGGTATCTGTATATAACTACGCTGCTACAGCTATTTATTTTACTCAAAGTTACATATTTTTGTTTTGTTTATGCATGTAATACATTAAAACTGCGGGGCAATGGAGACACCAAAGTATCACTGCTTTAAACTTAAATTCTATTTAATAAATATTAAAATTATTAACAAGTTTTAAAAATGTACATGCTTCTGTAATTATAAGGAAAAGCAGACTAGGCCTTAGATTTATATTAAGCACAGAGCAGCAAGGTCCATTAAACACCTGTAATAGATCTTAAAAGTGGTATAGGTATACTCCCGAATGTCATTATTGTATACAATATTTTTCACTATACATTTGTACATTTTGCTGGTGAATTATGGTCTAGGGTCCCTGTCCAGGTTAAGTTATATTCCCAAAGGTATTTTCTCTCTTAATAATATGGAAGAGGACTAGGGAGTTCTAGGAAGATGGAGGTTGGCATGTCCTTTTCCAGTGAATGATCCTGATTCACTTCTCTGAAGTAATATAATAACTGTGAATGACATCCTGTAGAGCCACTAGGACACTGGACAAATATATATATATTTTAATTTTTAAAATTTGTTCTCTTTCAATACTTTCTAATCCTTTTATATGTGTATTTCTCTCAATTATTGTGTATCTTATCCTGTTGCTTTTTAGACATTTCAACATGGCATTCGTGGGACTGAGAACAGAAGCAATTTTCTAGGTAATTCAGGAAAAAAAAGTTATTTTGAAGGTAAATTGACTGTGTCTCAGTTTTCTACTTAACGTTTTTTAACAGAGTCAAAATATTTATGGTTATTTTCCTGAGTAATCTCAGGGAATACCACTTTATGATTACTCTTCTTGCTTCTTTCATACAAAGCTTAATATAGTAATATCATCTAAGTAAGATCTTAACAAATACGAAAAGATTTCATATCAATTTTTCTGCTTCTCTCTCCTTTTAGGCCAAGAAATATACATTGTTTGACTCTCCCTTTATCCTTTTCCATGTGGTCTCAGGAAATGTTTCCTTAGCTCCCAAAACAAAACTATTTCTAAGCAGTCTTATTTCTAACACTATTATCTTCATTTCTTTACATTGAAATGTCATTGGGTGGGTGATATATCTAAAATTATATCTACACTATACCACATTACAACAGCTATTGATATTAAAAAAAAAAGATTTTCAGTATGTTCTAATCCTACTCACACTTTAAGGTTGTCCCTTTTTTGGCAAATTCTTGCCAGAATTGCTCGCTGAAGGTAATCTTTTCCTCCTAATATAATTTCCAAGTTACTTTATTTGTAACTCATTATAAAATGTATTGTTTTATATTGTAGAGTATGGCTATTTGACTATTTTTATAAATATCTATTTTATAAAACTGTAAGCTTCTTGGGAATAAGCTAGTCATCTGATAAACCTTTTTATCACTCACATTTTCTCCAACAGCTATCAATACATGTGTAATGAATAAAGGAATAAATGAATGATTAAATGTATGTAGGTAAATTTACATGCACACCTACTGCCCCTAATGACTCTTACCTCCTTGTATACCCAGAGTTTAACCTAGTTGCTGGCATATAATAAACATTTAATAAATACCATTGAATAAAAAGTAAAACTTTAAGCAGCAAGACAGGTAGCTTCTTCAAAAGGGTACCTTGCTTTTGGGTGGTGGGCTGTTTGTGCTCTTGTCTGTGTGAATGCTGGTAGGAGATACAGCAGCACCAAGGTTGCCTTGGGGTATGCCTGGGAGCTTCCCTCCTGGAGATACCTGCATTGCAGCTAGCTGGGCAGCATATAACTGCTACAGAAGAAAAAGAAAGAAGGGGGGAATAAAAGATTGTGAATAGTAAATAAATGCACCTTTAAGAAATGACCTATATTCACATGTGGTATTTTTCCTAGGAGTATTTTTGTTTAGTGCCCTGGACTATTTAAAGAAAGTAGCTTTCACCTTAACTTTCATAATTTATTTATCCAGAAGAGATGACAAATACCACATGTAAGTGATTTCAGCTTCAGTATGCCCAGGGACTCAAAGCAAATAAGTCATCCATATTTACTCTTTTCTAATGTCTATGGAAGGTAAGTATATTATATTATTTGGTCAGGAGTTCTTTATGCTCTACTTTAAATGTACACAGTGTGTTACAAAATAATGCAACTTCATAGACACAGTAATTTTCCTACTATCCGTACTCATTCAAGTCTTGTATACCTCGTTCTTTGACCTGTTGAAATGGGCACTTGAAAGAATTTTTCTGAGCATTAGTTGTGTAGAAATATGGAAAAGGTATTGGGGGCAATGGAAGGAAAGTAGCTGAGAAACTGTATCCAGTGAGTCTACCTATATTGATAAAAATTAACTGGATGCTTGCCAGAACTTCACTTTACTTCATGATATATAAACACAGGCAAATCTCAAATTATCTTGAGGATTAGGATTTTAAAGAATACTGTCTAAAACACACACTCTTCTACTAACCATCACTTAATAATTCTTACTAAATAAGCAGTTAAAGTTCTTCCAAGTTATTAATAAATTTAAAAAATTTACTTTGATAATAATTGCCATATGACAGAGTATCCTAAAATAAAGAGACTGCTTTAGATTCAAATAACCACATCAAATATTTGGATTAAAAAATCCTCTCTTCACCTTCATTTAACATTTTTTTAATAGTTTAAAAATCTGGGTAAGAAAACAGTTATTAAATATATATATGTATGTGTGTATATATATATATATACACACACACACATACATATATATACATATATACATATGCATATAAACATACACACATATCCCGATTTCCAGTTTCTCATTTGTCTTGAGACTCCATGGATAGCTTTTACTATGCAAGCTAGAATATCCATAATGGAATGACTGATATTAAAGAGAAAACTCTCAAGTAGTACTGTGAAATAATTATCTGGATTATCTTTATGTCTTTCTAAAAGAGAAATTTCAAATGATAAAATTTGCTCAAAATACGCCATAGTGGGACAAGTCAAGTGATAAGTGGGGTCTTTCTACAAATTGAATGATAAAAACTGAAAACAGTACATATTTACATGAAAACACACACAGTTTCTAGATAACTATAACCAAAATAAAAACAAGACATTAAAATTGTGGCTTATTTTTTATGCAAAGTAATGTGAAAAATGTTCCAGAGGAAGACTAAAAAACAGTGGCTCAGCCTGTAATCACGCGCTTTGGGAGGCCGAGGTGAGTGGATTGTTCGAGACCCGCCTGGGCAACTTGGCGAGACCTCATATCTACAATAAATCAAAAAATCAGCCAGGCGTGGTAGCGCGCGCCTGTAATTCCGGCTACTCGGAAGGATGAGGAGGAAGGATCGCCGGAGCCCAGCAGGTCGAGGCTGCGGTGGCTGGGACCGGCCACTGCACTCCAGTCTGGACGACGGAGTGAGACTCCAGCTAAAAAAAAAAAAAGACTGAAAAACCAGAGGAATGTAATGATTGAACAATCATAAGGCTTTTTGTGTTGGAATAATTATAAATAAATTTTTCCCATAAGGTTTTTTGTGTTGGAATGATTATATATAATTTTTTCTTTTCCCTTTTTTTTTTTTTTTTGAGTTGGGGTCTCACTGTCGCCCAGACTGGAGTGCAGTGGCCGCTCCCGGCCCCCGCAGCCTCTACCTGCTGGTCCGGGCGATCCTTCCGCCTCAGCCTTCCAAGTAGCGGGAACTACAGGCATGCGCTACCACACCCGGTAATTTTTTGATTTATTGTAGAGATGAGGTCTCGCCAAGTTGCCCGGGCGGGTCTCGAACCCGCGGGCTCAGGCAATCCACTCACCTCAGCCTCCCAAAGCGCTGGGATTGCAGGTAGAGCCACCGAACCCGGCTTATATGTTTTTCTTATTCTAGTTGGTCAGAAGAAAGGATAAGAATTCTTATTTTCGATTACATAGACATTAAAAAGATAATTCATTTAAAAAACGAGGACTAGGGAGTTTACTAAAAAAAAAACCCAAAACAAATCTATCAAATTGGTTTATTTTCCACACCTTTGTTGAAAATCTATATATTGTATTCTGCAACTAGAAAAACAGTTATAAACTACTTATAAAGTCTCTAAGAAAATAACCCATTATCCTAAGACACCACTTTGCAAATTAAAAATTTGCCCTGCAGAATACATGTACTAATACTGATTTTAAAAATCTATGTATTTTCACAAACTAGTTAGGTAATCTAATTTTACAAATTTCATATTGTATTTGTGTCTTTGCAAATTATTACTAGAAAATAACAATTCCTGTTACTGATTTGGTATACACTAAAAGTGAGATTGTTTCATAATTACTAAAGACATAAGACATATGCAGGTTTAAAAATGTGAACAAAACAGTTATTCAAAATTTAATTTTGATTCTTTTTATGTTTTTTAAGTGAGAAAGCAGAATTTAGAGAGGACAGAGAAGCTCCCACAGTGGGATGGGACGTGAGGGGGTTGCCCCTAATTTTGATTCTTAAACAATTATTTCATAATAGTTAAAAATTATTAAATAAAAAAATTATTGGTTGTTATTTAGATATTTAAATAACTTAATCAATCATTCATTAAAGGTGATTCAATGTTTAAATATTAGTCACTACAGATAGATTTGCAACCTCTAAAGAAATTTAAAAGCCACTATTCAAAATACAAGTATGAAAATTCTATAACACTTTGTTGAATTTAAAGGTTTGAGATGATACATACTTGGAATAAACATTCATATACATCCTTCCCTCATTCAAATAAATGCATTATTTTTAACCTTTTAAATGGAATTAAGGTTTATCTGAGTTAAATTGTCCTAAGAAATGATTTTGAGTTGAAAGGGAGGAAAAATTTGTAAAAGAGGTAGATTCAATTAAACTCAATAACATTCCTATAATAACAGTATAATATCATCTATCTTGCTGGTATTTCAACAGAATACAGAGACCTAAAGTAATCTGAGATGATAATTCAACAGAATACAGAGACCTAAAGTAATCTGAGATAATTTTATTAGCCTACTATTCAGTTAGAGTACAGTTAATTTTAGGAAGCTTTTCTTTCCCCCAATCTCTCAGATTCCCTTCCTCATTATTTGATTTCTATGCAAGGGGACAAATTTTAGAATTACTCTTCCCCAACTGTGATCAATTTTCCACTATTCCCACATCATTGCATTTTCTACAACCAGATCAAATTTTCCTGGTTTGCCAACGTATGAAAGTAAGACCAGGAATTATCTATTTCCAACACACTTTAATATGCATCAAATATATGTTTTCCTAAAATATACATAATAGTAGAGAGACAAAAAAGAACCTCAAGTTCTAAAGAATCTAGCACATTTTGAGTTTGCACAGATAAGATCAGCCAGGAATTTTAATACTGCTGGATCCTAATTTATCCATTCACAAATTAATAAGAAATTTCAGTAAATGTAAAGAAACTGCCACTAATTCTTCTACTTAGCTATACAGTATACACAAGAGTAAACAACTTATAAGAAAATGTGCTGCTGTGACTTATTTTAATTCAATTTTTATTTTATTTTATTTTTTTAAATTCAATCTTTAAAAAAATTAGTATTCTTTTTCTATCCATTAAAATTTGTGTGGGTCCTGATTTTAAAATAAAGAAGTCAAGAAATGATTAATAATTTCTTTCATTTGTCACATGTACTTGATGCAAAATCTAGACTAATAACAGGTGTCTGCACTGAGAGAGGTCTACAGTCACAGAACCATTGGTTGACCTTTTTGAGAGGGAAGGGGGATGGAATCTAGTGATGATTGGAAGACCACCTGAAGTAACAAGCATCCTGTGAACTATATAACTCACTTATGCTACGTGTGTGTGTGTGTGTGTGTATTGTGTGTGTGTGTGAATGTATGTATATATATATATACATATTAAAACAACCTGGTTATCATCTTTCTTTAAAGAATAACTAAGGAAAACAGATAAAACCTAAAGTTAAATATAAAATGTATTACGATAAATACTCTTTTATGAAAAGCACTGAAGTTGTTCTAAACATGAGAAACAAATTGAGAGACACTAAACATAAAAGGCCGAGTTGAAAGAGAGCACTAACTTCATTAAGCAGACTCACAGTATTTTAGCCTTACAGAATAACTTGATTTTTACCTTGATGCTAATGTGTTAGAGATTTGTTGTGATCTCTAAAACTCCACAACGGCTCAGCGTTTTAGGTCTAGTCTTTGTACTACTTAAAATATTGCATTTGTATTCCCTTTCACTTTCCCTATCCCTATACCTTCTTTAGGAAAATAATCACATAGGGTTAGGCTGTAATGTATTCTTGATCACTTCATGTCTTCCTGGTACTTAGTGTTTATAAATGTTTATACTTGTACATATAAGCAACTTGCATATTTGTATCCAATTACTCTATAGCCTGAATTTTTGTCTTCTCAGTATTTTAAGCTCCTTCAAGACCCATGATTTCTACTTCTAGTGGAGTAGTTAAAAAGCACGTGCTTTGGACATAAGCAGACCTGAATTTTAATTCCAGCTCTAAGTCATATGACCTTGGGCAAATTCTCTGAGCCACAATTCCTTAATATGTAATTTCAGGGACAAAGAAAATTGACCTTATAAAGGTCCTGTGAGAAATAAATTGCATAATGCACATAAAACACCCAGAAAAACATATGGTAAAGAATGCTTGATCAATAAAATAGTTCTAATTATTAATGGAATAATTTTACAAAGAAACTGGTTAACATATATGTGCTTGCTCTGGATTGTTACTGGTATAGC